ATGTGTTTGTGCGTTTGTGCTTTTGTTTGCTTGTGCGCTTCTCTGTAGGGATTCTCAAGGCCACCCACAGAGGAGGAAATCGATTCAATGCTGCGGCTACTCTGATGCAGTTAAAGCGAGGCCGCAGGCGCAAGCTGAAGATAAGCATGGCATTTGTGCAGGTCAGCTGGGGTGGCTGACCTGGGACAGGAAGCGGAAGAGGCATTCTGCGCTACAGCCCAGTAAGACTCGAAAATGAAGCGCAAGAGCAACCAACCCGATAAGCAGTTGGAGGCAGACGAGCAGATGCAGAAGCGCTTGGACCTTGCAAAGGACACTTTCGGTCACTGCCCCAGGCAATTGCATGGGTTGAGGTTAGCGCGGGGCACTGAGGCCAAGCTGTGGGGAACATGGTCAGTGGAAAGATGTTCGACAAGTCTGAGTGAGACGGCAAAGAAGAGCCGTGGAGAAAGGCGGTCAATAGCGGCAGTTCAAAGCGAGCCAGCTGAATGGCTGTTGCTCGCGGCTTTGCTGTTCAATGCGTCCTGTGCAAGGTTTGTGCAACCCGTGGCCTCTGCATTTGAGGCCCTAAGTAACTACATAGGTTTAGCATGTCAAGCACACACTATGTCGGATGCTTGTCAGCTTCTTAGTATCTGTACGTGATGCAGGGTCAACACACCTACAACAAAAGCTTGGCGGCGTCTAAGCTTGGTCGTTGGGCCCCCCTACTCGTATGATTGCTCTGTCGCACAACACCAGTGAACATGCAGCCTCCGCACGTGCCCGCTTGGAAGCTACGGACCAGCTGCCAGCCATGTAACCATGGGTGATGTTCCTTCACTTGCTGATTTGCTGGGGCAGTTGGACCAAGAGGAGGCTCAAGATGGGCAGCTGCCTGGCCACCTCTAGACGTAGGAATGGAGAGGTGAGGACGTGATGATAGAAATCTCTCCAACTATTCCAAACAAATAATGAAGATAGGAAAGACACAGATTGTGCTTTGGATTGGTTAGCCTAAGGAATGTGCATAAATGCTTGTTCAACAGCATGACAGAATACAGGGTTGACCGTCCCCATTTGCTTAAGCCGTGTCCATTTGTTGCTGGAGTCCGTCTTTATTTGCTTACAGATACTTTATTTGAAAAGGCCGTCTGCATTTGCTTCTGGAGGCCGTCTCTATTTGCTTCTAAAGACCGTCCCTGTTTGCTCATAGAGACCAGTTTTCAGTTGCTCAAAGAGACCGTCTCTTTTGCCAGACCGTCTTTCGATGCTCTGAGAGACCGTTCCATTGCTTATGGCGACGCCCTCTATGCTATGGTCTATAGTATGTGCACAGAGAGATGGTCTCTGCAAGGAAATCGAGACAGCCCCTATAAGCAAATGGAGACGGTCATTTTCTTATCGTGACTTTGGCCCCTTTTTATCGTGGTTTTAGCCGCCCCTTCAGTTGTTTTTTTCCCGTCGCATCGCCTCACCCCTTTGCAACGCCTTTGATGTTTTGTTTCTATGTCGGAACTCATTTCGGGCGCAATGGACCTCAACGACATCCATGCTTGCAATCGCACAAAACAGGTTTTTCTCGCACAAATTATCCCTCTCCAACTGACGAACCACGGTGACTGTTCTCGAAGAGGATGAACCGACCTGTCCTGATTACTGGCCTGATCTAGAGGAGGTTTTCTCAGGAAATGATGGAGCCCCATCAAGCCATGATGCGAAATGATCCAATGACGATCCGCCGCTCAGTGCAGTAAACAGGGAGTCATGCCCCTTGTGTGTGCGATCTGCCGCACGCTGGACGCCATTTCATGCGGGGGGGGGGAGAGGGGGCGATGGTTCATTGGTGCGAAGAGCCCAACGAAGATCGCGCTAGAGGAATGTGACATCGACCGGGACGCAGGAGCGACGTACCGGCCATATGTTGTAGAAATTGGGCCGATTTCTGCCTGGCAATGTCAACTCCAAACAGAGTGCGCGGGGGGAACGGCTGTTGACCAACAAGTGCAGTCGGCTTGGCCAGGCAGCAACATTCAAGGCCAACAGCAGGCCTGTGGAGAGCGCATTGAAAAAAGCTGGCTGAGCAAAAGCTAGGAACAGGTGGCGTGACCAAACGATGCCTGACCATCGACAAACAAAGTAATGACATGTTGCCTTGGGCTCATGTAGTAGCAGTGTAGCGACACATGCTCCAGCTGCAGCAAAGTACTTCATAGTAGACTAGCCTACTTGGTATTGACAGACATTGACAGACAGACCAAATTTGCGAGTTTGAGCTGCCAAAGGTTTTTCGAGAAGTATGTTTGAAAACTATTTCGCCAAAGTGCACATGGCGTACTGCACGTGCGCTCAACAAGTCTGCGAACTTTGCTTGTCTGACAAGTTGCGTTGCTCGAGCATGAGCTGCCAATAACGCGCGTAAGGTTCAATTGGACAATAATGTGTTATTTTTTTTCCGCAGCCCCAATCGCAGGCATTACTGTGTTACAGTGTTACGCAATTACCCCCTACCATCAAGACCCCTGATTGTTCCGAGGTTAGTGGAAGACCATTCAAGACAAGAGGACGTTCCTTTGGTTGGCGATTTGGTGACGGCGCTTTTGAAGGCTTTGCCTGGTGAATTGGCATCGGCGATTGGTTTTTGTGGCATGTCGCTGGCGGTGCTTCCCATGCAACAGCGCGCCTTGGACAGGCCGCTTGGAACGGGCATGGAGTTCGACGACAGGCTAAGCCCGCAAAGCTTGCTCGCTGAGCTTCAGGCAAACGAGGCAGACCTGTCACGCAAGACAAGCAGTGAGGTGGCGCAGGAGATCTTGGCTTTGCAAGAATGGCGGCGGCAGATGTCAGCTCGGCTTCAAGTGTTGGAAAGGCACCTGGCCTGGAGCATGCTGGGGATCGAGCGCACGGATGACACAGCTGCAATAAGCAAGGCTTTTAAGCGTCGAGCACTGGAGTTACATCCAGACAAGGGCGGAGACCAGCAGCAATTCCAATTGCTTCAGGACATGAAGGCGCTTTTGATCCCTGACGCCCCGACAAAATCAAAGTCAGAAACTCAGGCTGCTGACGAAGGAGACTCCGACACTGATGACGAAATCGGTAACCTGCTGGAGCCACGCAAGGAAAGAATGCCAGAGACAGAGAAGCCAAGTACCGTGCCTACCATCTCACTTCGTAAGAAATTGCACCAGGCTACGCTGCTGGCATGGGGGCGTTTTCAAGAGTTGGGCATGCAGCTCGCCCAACATGAAAGTGACAAGAACGCACAGCGTGAAGTGCTCGGTGCGTTCGAGGCTTTTCTTTCGCAATTTGCCACGGAGCAACCAACAGGCACGGCGTTGCGTTTTGATCAATTCATCCAAAGAGGCTCCGAACTTGTGTGTGCAGCTACTTTGGTCGATGAAGGGGCCGCCCTTTCCGCAGTTGCTCACCTCACTCAGACTCATTCTGCACAAGATGATCGCTGGGGCCGACTGTGCCTAGGAAGCTTTTTTGTCTAGCTCGCAAAGAGGCATTCGAGGCACAAGCCTTGCCACCATGCCCTTGACACCGATCTTAGGCTGGAAGCCTTGCCAAAGCTGGCAGACAATGCGATGAGCTCAGAGGAGTCAACCTAGCGTACTGTAGCGTGCTGATGCAGTGCTAGTCAATTGACTCGAGCGTGACTTTGGATTCTTGATCGACTCGTATCGCTAGGTGTCATGGCTCTCAGATAGCCTATGGAAGCGTAACATTTTACATTTAAGCCCCAAACCCCAAGCCCTAAACAAAGAATTCCAAAGCCCCATTTTGTTCGCCACAGAGCTGATGAGTTTGGGGGGTTTTGCATGCTGTCCACGCTGAACTCAAACTAAGCCTAACACTAAAAGAGACTTGACCTAACACCCTGAACTCTAGCAACCCAGAAACCCCCCTTACCAAAAACACCCGTATCCCCAAGCCTCAAACAAATCCTGAAACTCCACTCTCAACACCCCAATCTCCAAAGTCCCTAAGCCCACCAACCCCTGAAAACTAAGCCCCTCAGCTTCAAACACCATCCCTAAACCTCAAGAAGCCCGGATCCCCAAGCGCCTGATCACCCAAAGCCAAAACTCCAAGGATCCGAAGCATCCCCAAAGCCTCGAACCCAAGCACCCAACACCCAAGCCTCATCCCAACACCCAAGACCGAAAATACAAAACCCTAAGCCCTGAAAGCCCCAAGCACCGAACCTCCAAGCCTTCCCTCAATCCCTAAATTATAATTTCCTAAAGCCCTAAAAACCAAAGCCCTAAATTCCTCAACGCTAACGCAAGCACGCCCTAGAATCCTAAACCTTCGAACTTCAGAAATCGTAACTCACATTGGACAAACAAATCAAAGCTGCACTGGGCAAATGTGCACAAACTGAATCTCCCAGAAATACATGTTCGCGGACCGGCGCCGAGCAACCGACCCATTTGGAGCAAAAGTCTAAGTTCACAGATTTATGTATATATATATATATACATATGTATGTTTGTGTTTGTGTTCATGTGCCGGTAAATACCAAAAGCAATGCATGCATATGTACATGCATATGCATACATGGATAAAGTGTTTTTCAGTTGCTTACAGATATAGACACGTATACATGCACATATATATATATATAGATAGACAGATGCGTGTGTGTGTGTGTGGGTCTAGACAGTTACCATGATCATTATTATCATCATTATCCGCGTCACTATGTGTATTGTTCATCATTGCGAAGGTCCAAAGGAAGTTCCGTTTTTCCAGCAACTCTTGATGGAACCATGCCGATGTGTGCTTATGCGTAGATAAGAATATTTGTTTGTATATACACATTCATAGCCACATGCAAGATGCCTAACATTGGAATGTTGCCGTAGATGAAATATTCACCGGGATCAGGGCGTGCCAAGGTGAAACAGTTCGCAGCGCTGGTCTCTACCAGCAGCAACCAGGCAAGCTCAAATGGAGAAGCTGCGGTGCATGTTGCCGGGAACGATCCGGAGAGACGCTTTGAGCAAAGT